ACTTTTTCTGGTTTTTAGTAATCCATGGACTTTTGTTGCTTGAATGCTTTGCTCTTTGTTCAAATGACCTTACAAGATGTGCTGTGAAGTCCACTTAGCTCACAGGAGTTACAGCTTTCAATATTTGCTAGTTTTAATTTGTGTTTGGTTCTCTTTTGTGTGATGTTTTGATTTCTAGGGTAACTGAAAATCCACAAGGAGATATGTCTATGTGAGCATTGCTGGTGTCAATAATGTGCAGGTGCTTTTTAACAGGACTGATATGATACTGTTTTTGCAAACAAACATTCACTCTATAGATGTTTGTAAATGACTTAAAATAAAATAGATTTATGCCATTATTGAAAAAAGTTCATCCTGATTACTGTTAAAATACTCCAGTTGTTGAAATGTTGCACCTTGCCTAGGCACCCTCTTTCAATGTGTTTCCCAATACTGAACTGTAGCTTTCCTAGAGCAAATTAAAATTATTTTCCTCACCCTTCCCACCATGGCCTTCAAGGACAGTTGAGCATCTATTATTTTTAACAGTGTTTTGAATATTGAATATTTTGATGCTTTTGCAGTGTCTATCTCCATCCATTTTTCTCCTTCTCCCACCCTGGTTTAGTCCAATGCATAACAACAGTGAAATATTTCACTGTTCTCAGCAATGACGAATGCCCTCAGGCCGCAGATCCACAGGCACTGGTATCATACTGAAGCATTTTCAATGGAAAAAGCTTGAAGGAATGGGAAGTTTTTAAACTCTGCAGAAGCTTTTTACATAAAGACAAATTTCACACTCATCAATTCTTCCCATGTTACTCAGAGTAAGGGCAGTGCTGGCGTTTGAACCAGCTGAGAGTCTGCTAGCCCTTGACTCTGAAATCTCTGATCGCTATGTCAGTCATTGATTGTTTTACCTTTTGTGGTCCACACTGAGTTGTTGAAGATGTTGAGGATGTGTGCACACTGTGACTTGTCAGCAGGCATGTGCAGCCTGTACAGAAGGCTCAAATCAGCTAAAATGGATACATTCATACTAGCACACCAAGGTAGCTAATTTTGCTGCTATCTTGGCTACGGAGCAACTGCCAGAGCTGCAAAGAAACTATATCAGCATAATTAGAGCATGTGTATCCAACTAAATACAGTGCACTATCCATATGAAGTGTTTGTTATGCAGAAATGTTTGGAAACGTGTAATCAAGGCAACTCTGTTACTGCCAACAGTTCAGCATGGAAAAACCTGCATAACAGTTGGGAAATAACATTATTTGGCTTGTCTCACAAGCCAAAACAATTCTTGGTAACTTGCTTCAAGAAACCAGGATTTTTGTAAGGTCTCAGTGGCCATGAAATTGAAGAAATTATTTAGATGCCATAGGCTTAAAATTCTGTACCAGCTGAACAACAATACAAACATCCACAAAGGAAAATATTCAGTGAAAGCATATGCTGAGCAACAAAAAACATTCTTCAGTGCAACTATCTATGACTCTGTGTTGTCTAATATAATCAAAACTTCCCAAACAAATGCAGCACACCCCTCTGCTCAGGTTAGTCCTATGAGATATATATTACCATCAAAATGGTGTAGTAATTTTCCAGGTTCTGATTTTGTTCCTCACTTATTACAAGTGACTGTTCTAGATAATGCAATCAACTCCCTTTCTGCTTATCTTGGCATAAGAAATATCTGTGTTTGGAGTTATGCCTTAGGATTTAACAATAAGTCTTAGATATCACTCAGCTTCCAAATCCCTGCAGGAGAAATGTTGGAGGAAAAGGCTTTTTCAAATAAGAAACTGTCAGTAATAACCTCTGCTACAGAGGAGATATTTTCCAAAACTAGTGCTCTACAAGACTTGGGTACTTTGACTCAAGCTTCACCTTCAGTCTGGACTTGTCATGCCATGACTGGATTATAAACACCTTTTGTTCTAGGGCAACACCTCAGTCTCTGATAAAAGCTGGAACTTAAACCTTCTTACTGTAAGCTACATTCATGTTTTGAAAGTTATGAGATGGATGCTCAGCATGTATAGCAGCATCCTATTTTCCAAGAGCTGCTTCCATATCTCGGGGTTTTCTCCCAGTCAGAACAGACAATATGAATCACTTTCTAGAAAAAAAAAAAAAAGAGTTACTACTGTTTGGTGCTGTTACGATCACCGTCTTAAGTTTCCCTCTCACCAGGTGGCAGGATGCATGAGTTAAAAAGTTGTGTTGGCTTTTCAACTCATCACATAGAGCCCTTGTAGGATACATGTGTTAATCTTATGAAGTAAATGCTCTTCAGTGTCATCATCTCCTCCCAGACCACATCTGAATGACATTAATACTCTGGTGAAATTGCAGTAATAGATTGCTTGAACTTCCCAGTCTCTACCCTTTCCTCATCATTTGCTGTCAGTTGTAGATTACCACATGTCACAGCTTGTACAAAATCCTGTGTGAATCGATTGCTGAATACACTACTGTGGGTATTGCAGTCTGCAGGTTACATCCATTCCCACTGGAGCTCTGTACAGGGATGCTTGAGCACAGTGGCATTCTGTGTCATTTGATTTAAGTAAAACATTTCTATTGTTACCACCAAATTTTTAGCACAGATGCTCTAAGAATATTTGTCATTACTCATTATGTATTCTTTTGTTCTTACTGTGTATCTGGATTAGCTTGCCTCTGTTTTACTTCCTCAGTGAATCCATAATATTAATTTAAACTATTACTTTCTTATTAATTCTGGTATCTGTTTTTCTTCTGCACTGTTTCTGCTTTTATTGAAGCACTTATTCTTGGAATGAGTAATAAAAAGCAAAGCCATGTCATCTCTGTTAAGGAACGGGATCTGTTATCAGTTTGCCTTCACAGGGTCTGGCAGTCATCACACACAAAACAGCTGTTTTACTTGAGTTGGCAGGAATATTCTGGCATTATTCCTTTTCCTCTGAATGTCCAGTGGTTAACACAGATAATGTTTAGGTGTGTTTCATTTAGCTTCAAGAAAATAAACAAGGAAATCAGCATTACGGGTTATGTGATTCTTCATTTCCATGTGAGGTCCAGTGAAGGACAGCTGCTTCCTGAGGGGCAGGGTGCGGGATCCCAATGCAGTAACCTGGCCAGCAGAGCAGAAACTGGCAGCTGGGCTCATTGCACCCCTAGCCAGGAGTGGGGCAGCCCTAACCCAGGCATGGGCACCTCCCTGGGAACACGATGGACACAACTGGAGACTGGCCCTGGCTGTGGTGTCTCTGGGGCAGCAACTGATGGCTCTGGAGGATTGAAATAGGGTCCTGGACCCTAGACAAGATAGGGGCAGTCCCAGGGTGCTGGACAGTAGTGACGCTTGGTGGTGCCCTTAGGACTTGACAGTGAGATCTGAATCCTCTTGTTGCTACAGTATTAAGACTGGAAAGAGCTGGTTATAGCAAAAAGGTGACTGAAAGAAAAGCAAGTGTGCTTCAGTCAAAAAACACTGGTTCAATAACATCCAATGTTCTCAGACATTTGACTCTACTGCCTCATTGCACCCTTTTTACTTTGCCATGTGTTTAAAATAGGATACTATATATGTGCAGAGCAATTGTTTTCACCATGTGGTTATCTCCTGACCACAGAGCATAGCTGCAGTTCCATCCACAGCCTTGGACCTAGTGGTTTTCATTGGCCACAAATCTTCCCTGCCCCTTAAGCTTTTGAGCAGGGCAGTGGGAATCACCATGTTTAGGGAGTGGAGTCGAATGCAGCTTATGGAAATTTGAGCCCTACTGGTTCCTCTTTCAGAAGTGACATTTCCTGGTTACTCTCCTAGTGTGGTTATTTCAGATCTGTGCGATCCCAGTGCTCAGTCTTTCCAAGTGGTCCTCATACATCTGGAAACTTTGCCTTGGAGGAGTTTTAGAACTTCATTAGATTCTAATGGTGATTTTTTTTTTTCTTCTCAATTTACCTTCAGTATAGTATTTTCAAAATTCTGGGAATTCCGTTATAAATGTATTTTCTTCTCTAAATTTTTAGTAGTTCTCTTAGTATCTTACCTAATGAGAAAGCTGTGTCCTAACAATTGATACATAATGTCTAGCCATGAATATTTTAGCCTTACAGCCTGAAAATCAGATCCCATGGCAGCAGAGAGGACGTTGTTGCCTAAAGCAAAATGAATTATAGTGTTTTGGGTCTGATTTCAAAGGTCTGATGGGGATTTTCATTTCATTTCATTTCATTTCATTTCATTTCATTTCACTGTTAATAATGTAGACTGTTTGCACACATAATATTTTTATAAGTTTGGAGGCAACAGGGATTGTAAGATGAGTGATAGTCTTCACTCCCACAGAAGGTTTGAATGAATCCCTGGCATTTTTCTTTATTTAAGGAATTCTGTTAGGTGTTTTGGGGAGCAGCTAGGCTATCTGTCAAGCACATAGGTATCTGTCTTCTTTATGTGCAAGTTGTGCTGTGATAACACCAGAGGTACTGTACACAGGAAAATTGTGATGAATAGTTGAAGAAATTAATTATTAATTAATTGGCTTGCAACCATCTAGAAGTGCATGAAGTATCATTGCCAATACCTTCCATCTCTATCTCTTTTATTTCCTTTTTCATTTTTCCTTCTTCAGCCTCTTAGTTTCTTGCAATCACTTGTTCTATGTTGGTGAAAATCACATTTTTAATCCTTTGGGGACTGAAGTCTCACAGTGCTTCTATATGAATCTTAGCAATTAATAATATTGAGGAGATTGATTACAATTTTTTTCTCAGTGGGAAAAGGAGACCAAGAGATAAAAACAGTTATCAGTTCTTGGTCTGATTAGTTTCTGGACATTTGCTGTGAAAATGGACTTGCTTAGCAAAGCAAGTCAAAGGAAATGACATCATAGAAGGTTAACATAGCCTTTTACTGCTAGCTAATTCAAACTGGTGTTCATTGATCTGGTTCTCTAGCACTGCTTTTCTACTTACTTGCCTGTCTTTGAGCAGGTTTTGTTTCTTTGTGTTTTCTGCAGGTCAGAATTAGCTTCCTGCTGTGATGCAGTTCACAATTTTATTGCTTCTCAAAACAACAGCCCACTGGGAAGTAACATGAGTTACGAAGTGGACAGTAAAAAGACTATCCTCATTACAGAGGACATTTTTAAGATGCTGCCTGTGGTAAGAACTGTATCTTTTTATTATAATAACTGTATCTTGTTATTATAATCACAGTGTATATATTTTGAGTTAGTAATTGAGATGCAGTGATTCCCCTGGAAGAGACCCATCAGCCCCTGTATGCACTTTATGCACTTCTTTATTCACCTTGCAAGGTAGTTTGTTTTGTCTTTCTTTTAGCCTTCCTCTGCAGTGGTAGAGGCATTTACAGATATCATAGATCATAGATTGGCGGTTGCTACAGAACACAAGTGGTGCCTGGCTTGGCAGCCATTTGAATTCAGGAGCAAATACTCTGAGAATGTTTGCCTTGCTTTTATCATTCCTGCTTTTAAAGGCATTTCAATCTGGAAGAACATTTCATGTTCCTCATGTGCCTATGTCATTTCCAGGCTTGGGCATGTAATTTATGAAAGATATTTTGGTGGTAAACCTAATACAGAATAGCATAGAACACAATAGAGCAGAACAGAAGAATGTCAGTTGGAAGGGACCCACAATGATCTCATAGTCCTACTGCCTAATCAGTTCAGGGCTGACCAAGTTAAAGCAAGTCATTAAGGACATGGTCTAAATGTCTCAAACATTAAATGTCTAAATGTCTAAAACATCAGCTGGGCACATCAACCACCTCTCTTGAAGCCTATTCCAGCAACTGACCATCCTCTTGGTAAAGAAATGCTTCCTAATGTCCAGTTGAAACCTCCTCTGGTGAAGCTTGGAACCATTCTGATGTGTCCTATCACTGGATACGACAGAGAAGAGATCATCACCTTCCTCTCCCCTTCCCTTCCTCAGAGAGCAATGGGATTACCTGTTGTTTTCTCCAAACTATACAAGTACAAAGTCCTCAGCCACTTTTCATAGGACACTGTAGTGGTTTTAAATCATCAGCCAATCTATCACAGACATTTCTTCCAGCCCTTTCACTAGCTTTGTTACCTACTGGGGCAGGGTGTTTGCAGCCAGAAACACAAGATGAGAAAAGGAATCAGATTTTGTACCTCAGATTACAATAGACATACAAGATCTTGAGACTAGGCAAAGAATTTTTATTTGGTTTCTTGAACCTAAGAGCACATGGTATCCCTCTTACCCATCTCTGGCATTCTTGATTTGCGAGATCCCAACTACCACGAGTCTAGTTCTTCCTAACACTGCTGTGAATCAGTCTTTACTGATTTAATTGCAATTTCCATTGAAATTTTGGATTTGATTCCAAATTTATCTGGAGAAATGAAAAAGTAATATGTTTTATGTACACATATATACACTAAGGTGGCCAGAATTGCCTGGCCTTTGTGTTCTTCTACCATCCTTTCAGAACTGAACAAAATATTTGAATATGGTTTGTAATATATAGTCAGGCAATATGTTTACCACTTCCCCTCACACTTTTTGCCTTGTTCATAACAGTGTCCTTTCTTGCTTCTCTTTGGGCAAGCTGATGAGAGAAGAAGGACAATGCTTTCCATAAGCAAGTTTTTACAACTGGGTTTAATTTCAGTAAAATTTTTTTACTTTCTGTTAAAAATATCCCAGCTGTTGGTCTCTGGTGAATGTCAGTGCTTCCACAGCAGAAGAGGTTGAGCAAGACGTATGAAAAGTTTCTGAGACTGGGATAACAGCCAGCTATAATAACATCAATCTAAATAGCCAACAATGTACATTAATTTTCTAGGTTGTGAACTGTGCTGGTTCTCAAGTGGATGCACTTAGTTCCCACTCAGCTTCCCCACTACAAGACAGCAAGCTGTAACAAGAAGAGGAGCAGAGAGGGTGAACAGCCAGAAACAGTAACCTCTTCAGTGAGGCCTCACATGCACAAAGAGTTAAGCCAGGGCACATCATTATCAATTACAGCATCTTCAGGTTCCCCTGAATTTGTTATTCTGCTTCAAATGTAATTGTGTGATGACATAAGTAAGGAGAATTTATGAAGTTACCTTCTATTAGCTGAGAAAGTAAATTACTATATTACAACCCCCAGTCTGTTACAGTGCAAAGGAAACTGGGTAAAATTAAACCACTTCAGTATAAATTAGTTCCTTAGCTTGTCAAGGTTTCAATCCACTACTAGATAATTTTAGTGTTAGGTATATTTAGAAGGTACCCAGTTTTAACAATCCAGTGTCAAAGTTCTGATAGCAGAGGTAACAGTTCTCTGTCTGTTGGTGCCTATTTTTGGCTTTCGGCTGTCCAGGTTTGGAAATCCTGTCTGCTAAATGGTGAATGCTTTTACTGTGATTTACCAGATTAAACCTGCAAGAGCAAATAGACTCAAAGAAACAATCAAAACACTTTATAAAGAATTGGCTGCATCTTTTTATTTGTTTGCAGTCCTCTCCTCTTTCAGTCTATCCCTTCAAGAACTGTGCTGTGGTTGGAAATGGAGGCATTCTGAAAAATTCCAGCTGTGGAGCTGAAATCGATAGCTCTGACTTTGTTTTCAGGTAAGAGCTGCTTCATATTCCTGAAGTGTGTCCAACATTCTAAAAACTTGGCAGGATTGGAAGTGTGCCAATGCCAGTTTGTAGCAATGAGGAAGGATCTTGACAATTCTTTATTTCTGCCTCTTTAAGGATACTTCTGCTTTGTTGCTTTCTAATTAAAGAGCAGGCTGGATGATACATGTATGATCTGTGACTGCTAAATCACCTTGCAGTGATGTGAAATGTGATTATCTGGGAACCTGACATTTCTGGTCATTTAACATCCTTTAGGAGACTGGTGTTAAATGTCACATGAGTATCTCTGGTTTAACAAAGCATTTACTTAGCCATAGTTTGGCTCACACATGTAGCTGCTTAATTGCCCCGATATTTGTTTCATCTGTTACTCATTTAAAATATTAAGCATCTATTTTAGTAGTGTTTTTAATCTCCCTGGATAGAAAACCAGGCGCACTCTGAGTGTAATTTTGCCTACTCTCTCAGTATGTGACTCACAGTTTGTAGTTCATGCAGAAAAACAGAGCAACAGAGGGAAGGTTCTTTTCTCAATGATGTACAATCACACATTCTGGATTTTGTTTCCTTTTCTTACTTTTTCCTAATATTTGGGCTTTTGAAAATCTAAAAAAAAAAAAAAAAGTCTTTCCAGTTAGACAGCTATTTTAATGAAAATGGGAAGTCTTTGTACTAATATGCTAAACTTACTAAGTAACTGAATTTAAAAAAATACTTTCTTTGCACTTTACAGAAATCACTGTTTCTGCAGTAAGGCAACTTATGCTGTTGTTAGAAGACACAGTAGAAGACTTTCAGCAGAAATGCATTTTTTAGGCAAGAGGGGTAATAATTCCTGGCAGCCAGCATAGGGCATTCATAGACTGGCTTCTCCTGGGATTTTGACTGTGCTCCTGGTTTGTGATACAATTTATGAAAATGAGCTCTCTATGCCCTATTTTAACCATCTGTACAATAGATTAAATATCTTTATTAGAAGTGCTGTAAGCCTTATTTAATATTTGTAAAGTGCTTAGACATCCCTGGGAGCTGACATGAAAGTGTCATTGCACAAGAGAAGAATCTGCAAATAATAACTGTAAAGCATTTCTGGCACACATCTGTTTAATCAAATGTTTCTCAATTTCAGGTGTAACCTCCCTCCAACCACAGGAAACATTAGCAAAGATGTTGGCAATAAAACAAACCTTGTGACTGTTAATCCGAGTATCATAGCTCAGAAGTGAGTACTACCGCAAATCTGTTTCTGTGCAATGGTGTATAATGGTTTAACATGATTTAGATTTTCATAGAAATCCATTGGGATACCAGCATAGAAGGCAGTACATGTAGATTACCTCATTAAGCCTTAGTTTCCAGGTAAAATATGTACTAGTCTAAATGGAAATCTTCTAAACCTGGCCTTTTTTTGTATCATAAAGGAATCAGCAATATCCAGATTAGCAAGAGCTTTGGCTGATACTAGTCAACAATTTATGGCAGACTAAAATTGGTGATTGTAAGTTAGAGCCTCTTCTTTTCCCTCCATGACCTTCACAATCCCAAGCATTTAGAAAGGAATTGTAATCATAAATCAGGAAAGCCTGGAAATGTGTGTCCGACTCTATCAGCAGTACTGTGAGTGCATGTTCCTAGGTAATGTGCTTAGAGGCTGTTCTGATGAAGGCTGTTTCCTGAATGGAGGCCCAGCTTCTGTAATCCATTTTTAAAATCCATATGAAGGCTTCTTGCTCACACACTTTTTTCTCAGCAGAGGTGGATTTTTTTCACCTTCTTGATGAAAAGAAAATCTAATAAGGCCAGCCTGACTAATCTGACATCTTCAGCAGGCTGGAACGGCAGCTTATCTATGAAAGGGACTGCTGTGCCATGTTATTTACTGCTTGCTAATCTTACTGTATCTTATTGTCTGTCATAACTGTATTGTCAAAAAGACAACATAAGGCAAAGCTTTTTTTTTTTCTCCTTGAAAGGAAGAAGGAAAAAGTGAGTACACAGAAATTAGTAACAGACATTTTTCATTGATTCAGGGATAGAACTTCATTTTTTGCAATGAGTACTAATTATGTTAATGCTTACCCAACCCTTTTTGACTTTAATGAAGAGAAATTATTGCTTCTCCAAACATAGATATAACTCATTGATGTTAGTGGGCCTGCACAAGGATATAAGGAAAGAAAATTGTCCAATGACTCAGCATCCTTGGTGACTTCTGACCTGATCCACAATTTTTCTAGGCTTAATCAAAATATTCTATCACAGCTGCACTCACTTTTTAGCCAAATCAAGTCACACTAGGGTTAATAGGAGTTACACTGAAGGAAATGGGAGATAAATCTGTGGGAGAATTAAGTGAGAGTTTAAGATGACTTCATGATTTTAAAAAAGTATTTATTTAAATATTCACAGAAAACTGTAAATGCTTTTGAAGAAGAAGCAGGAAGTTGGTACCATTTCTGCATTTAGCAGAAATGGTACCAACTAGCAGAACCAAATTTGTTTCTTCTCTCAGAAGACCTATTCAGACATTAGTAATTTCTAATTCTTTGTTTGCATTCTGGCTTAGTCTGATGTTATTATTAAGGTTAATCAGCTTTTGACCTGTGTGTTCAAACGTAGGTGAACACTCTTGGAGAAAAGCACAGTTCTTGCGTATCCTAATGGAACTGAGCTACACTTCTCCTCAGAGTAGCAGAGCTGGAAAGGAGATTGAGACACTGTTGAGTTGTCCAGGTTTCTAGCTAAGGAAGAATAGAGATTTGAATTCTGTTCTAGGGGCTTAGTACTTTACATTGAGTAAAACAGAGAAATTTCTTGTAGTGGAGGCCAGAAATTCACCTTTCAGCCACTTTTCCTTACACATAGGCTCAGGCATTTCTTGCTTGTTTTGGCTGTGTGACTCTAACATGCACAGAGGTTCAGGGTCAATAGGAGGGCCTGAGTCTCTCTCATTCCTTTTGTTTCAGATTCTGGTGGTAACAGCACTTTTCTGGGAAGCAGAAGCTATAAGTTTAAACCCTTTCAGGTTGAGAAGGGGTGTATCACTCCTTGCACTAATTTAGTCGTGCATGAGGTAACTCTTCCAATGAATGTTATGAATGGAAATGGCAGTGGTTGCTGTCCTCTGTCTTGAAGTGCTGCATGAAAAGAGGGTTTGAACCTACTCAAGTTGTGAAGAGAAATGAAACAAATTTTTCCAGCTTCTGCTGGAGTCATTTGCAAAAACTGGATTCCGATAGCCTTTAAGAGGTGAAAATACACTGCTCAAATAGATGACTCCTACAAAAGAGGACTCAGTGCTTTGAGTCCCAAAGAGGGTGGAAGCTCCATATGTTTAGGCGATTCAGAAAAGTCTGATCTATGGAGGGCATAAGTTGAGTGACCCCCCCGCTTGCATCACTTCTCAGATAACTTGGGAATTTCACTAGTCAGTATTTGAGAGCACAGAATTATGCAGTGTTGAGAGCTAAGTCTCTTTGCTCTTTGTTGGGGACCAAAAGCACCTGAGAATAAATCCTTGTCATTTGTGAAGCTAGAGCTCTAAGTCTTTATAGATCTTTACAGATCTCCATGTGTTCCCTTCTAGTTGAAGGACATAAACAGGGATGCCTTTATTTTCAGCTATTTTAAAAGTATGTCCTGCCCTTGAGCACACACTAATGCTCCAAGACTGCTCACATGCATCCTTGAATTTCCACACAGGGCAGACAGAGATTTTTGTATGCCTGTCAACATAAGAAACACATTTCACAAACACATACAATACAGATTTTAGTACATGTATTTTCAAACGGAGAAAGTATGAGAACAATATTTTTTGGCATTCTTCTTAATATCTTGGATTGATCAATTCTGTAAACATGTCCAAGTCTCATTAGCAGTGAATTTGATCTGCTTCAGTATCTCCTGTGTTATTAGTTCAGACCTATGCAGTGTGTTTTTATTACCCAATAGTCATATTTTCATAGCTGCACGTAGGACAACTTATAATAGGATGATAGAGATTTGCAGTGTAGACAGGCTGAACTGCTGCAGCAAAGTTCATAGCACATCTTTGAAAGTGCAGTTGTGCTGTTCCAGTCTGTAATGTTTGTATCAATACTACATTCCATTCCTACAATTTTGTACTTTGCAGATACAACAAGCTAAATGAAAAGAAGACAGAATTTCTGGAAAACATTGCGGCCTATGGAGATGCTTTTCTTTTACTGCCAGCATTTTCCTTTAGAAGCAACACAGCCACTTCTTTTAAAGTATACCACACTCTGAAAGAGTTCAAAGCAACCCAAAGGGCAATATTTTTTCACCCCTCTTATCTGAAAAGTCTTGCCCAGTTCTGGAGAACTAAGGGTGTGAAAGCCTACCGGTTGTCATCTGGTTTTATGATCACTAGTGCTGCTCTTGAGCTGTGTGAGAATGTGAAGCTCTATGGTTTCTGGCCTTTCTCAAAATCCATAGAGAAGATGCCAATCAGCCATCACTATTATGACAACCAGCTGCCTAAACCGGGTTTCCATGCAATGCCCAAAGAATACAACCAGATCCTTCAGCTTCATGGCAAAGGCGTTTTGAAGTTGCAGTTTGGTAAATGTGAATCAGACTAAAAAGGTAGGTCCTGTTCTTACCACATGAAATGTCTTTATTTCACTAATGTGCCAAGGGAAAACTTGTTTTACAAAGTGTAAATTCTTCCTTAGAGAGACACTTCTACCTTACACTCAGTGAAAGTCGTATTCCTAAGTGAAAGATTGAATCTTTCTGAATAAATATGTATCACAGAGTTGAGAAATGTTTTCTAGTTGTGAATACCAGATGGGGAGCATAGCTAAGTACAAATTATCCCCATAATTCATAGTCAATCAGAAGTTTTTTCTTATCTCAGATACATCTCTGCCAACTTATGTTTGGTTTGGTATCAGTTCCGAGGTACCAGTCTCCTTTAAGAATTGCTTTATTAAAGGCATTCACACATTGTGATCTCCAAAATGAGACACCTAATCATGGCACAGCCTTTCCAGGTGTATACAGAGAGCAGAGTAAGGATGAAGATTGTTCCATGAAGAGGAAGCATGCATCTATGGCCTTGTTGCCTCTTGTTAGGTAAAGATTTGAGCAGTGTGCGCTCATGGCCTGGAGCTGCAGAGCAGCTTGTGCATGGCAGTGAGGGAGCTGCCATACACTACAGCAGATCTTGCTGAGCATTTTACCTTGAGGCAGCTCAGAATCTGGGAGTTACAAACATAGGATGAAGTGTCATTCCTTTTCCTGTGTTCTTTCTGTCCCAACCCCTTGGACCTCTACCTTCTGTGTATTGCCTCAGAGAAATGCAGCACAGTCTGGCTTCTGACCTTGAGCTAATTTACTGTGTACACACAGATGACTCTGAAAAGATTTGTCTGCATGTTTTCAATCTTGATTTGCCCTGTTGACAAAATAAGACCAATTTGTATGAATACTTCTTCATCTTTTAAGCTAACTCAGAAATTCCTAAGCTCACTATACTGTTGTCAGAGTCTTCTTTTACAGAACTCTATTTTTCCAGGGGGTTCAAGTTCATATAATAGTAAGTGAAGTATACAGTAGAACTGCCATTGTACTCTATATACTTTAATTGGACTGATGTAATCTCATGACTATATTACTCAAGTTAAATAAATAGCATCATCTTGTTCAAGCCAGAAATTTCAAGCTGAAAAGCTAAGGGTGCTTTTCTTCTTGCTAGGTTCTGAAATGTACTTGAGTATATCCTTTGTGATATTTAGAAAACATGTTGTCAAAGATACATTCACACTTAGTTTATCATCAGAGAATGCTAAGTTTTAAAATAGCAGATTGTTAATACCAGGAAGGGACAATTTTATTCAGTTTCAAGGTTTTTTTTTAAGAAATAGAAAAATAAATGGCTTTCAGATTATTAGAATAATATAAAACCTATTCATAGGTGAAAAGGGACCTAGAATCCGTATAGTGAATCCATTCTCCTAGTCCATGACAGGAGATTACCTAGGAGGAGTTGAATTGTATATATATGCAGTTTCATGTGGCAAAGGTATGCTTTTTTTGCTTGTAAAAGGTTGCAGTGTATTGGAAAGGTTAAGAAACACATTATGTATCTTTTCTTAGTGGCCAAGATGTTTATATCCAGCAGTTTCCATTGTATTTGTTATTCCTATAATATAAATCATTGGAGACAAACTGTGTAATTTTAATTGTAGGAACTACATGAGCTAATAAAATGCAAGCCAACTCCTTAGAAAAATTTACTCTAGAGAGAAGCAGATAGAAGCCACAAAAATGTTTAAATATCTGTATGTGTTAATTAAATGCTGTCCATGCTTGACAGACTGAAAATCACTTGTGGCCAAATTTGCCAAATAAGCTGTAAAGAAAAAAAAAAAAAAAAAAACACAAGAAGAATAAGTTGTGATGCCCTAATTTGCACTTATATTTACAAAGAGAAAACCAAAGGAATGGTATGAGCTAGTAATTCTTCTAGTATTATCAGCTATTAGAGATAATTGAAATTCTATAATGAGTATATTTTACTCAAGATGACCTTTTCTAAAAGTTGAACAATCTCCTTTCTCTTTTCAATTTCCATTTTAATTTCTCCATGCTCTGTGTTCTTCCCTCTTAGTGGGTAGCTGGAGGTTCCTTACACCTGTGGGTGCCCACAGAAGGCTCAAGCAGAACCTCCCACACACATTACTGGACACAAAAGTTTGCTGCTGTAAATGAGGAGTGAAAGAAGCTTCTCTGCTGGGAGCACCTATAGGGAGAATATAATTGCATCCCAATGAGTCATTTTTGGCAATATTGCTCCTAAACACCATCCTTGCCATTGGAAAGGTGATTTTTTTCTTATTGGATAGAGAGAATTGTCAGATATGAGAGCCCTATAGAGTCCCACAAGGTGGGAAATTCTGCCTTAATATCCTCTCGTGTACCTTTATGATTATGTTTAACAGACATGTACAGGTCATCACTAAAGTTGGTGCCCACATTTCACAGAGGGTCAAACAGAAAATGCAGCAACAGCAAAGTCTTGAAACATAATTAATGATCTTTATTATTTTGTATTAGATTAACAAATAATTTTTACTATGGCCTTGCAGCTGAAGGAAGTTTTATTTGTTTTGTGGTTTAACCTGATAAGCCTGAAGGGCATGTCATTAGCTCCAAGTAAATGTAGGTTCAAGGAGGGGAAATGACCTGATTAATATTTTAAAATAGAAAAAAAATCTGATTAGAAAAATTGTCAGATGATAAATTAATCAGGCTGGCATAAATTTGATTACCCAGAAGCCTGGTTAAAATGCAAATTTTGCCTGACCAAGAATCCATCAGATTTTCTGTTTCCTAGAAAAAGACAGCAGGGCAGATGAGTATGTGTTGCTTTGACATACAAAACAGTAACATTAAGCATCTGCTCAGAGAAGTCAGTCAACACAAACAAAAAAAACCACAGAAAGGAAGAATGAAACTGAGACTCTGAGCTTGGGGAAGAAAACAGTCCTCAATTGTCTGAGCAGAAGGACTGAGGGAGGAGGGCTTGAGCAGAGGTGTGCAGGGGGTTAGGAAGTACAAACTGCTGAACTCTCCACTGTGTATCTTACCTGGAAAGTACGAAGTAGGTATGAGTTTTTTGACTCCAACCAAATGATTAAATGTGATTTGTTTCTGAAAGGGAGCAGCAGTGACTCCCTCCACTCAAGGTGGAGCTGCCAGAGCAGCATCCTGTAAAGCAGGGGAAGGCTTGCTTACTTTCTCAGGAACTAACATCAAAATGAATTATTTTTTTCCAAACTCTGTCAGCATGTGATATTTTTTTTAATCTTGAAATTTGCTACAATCCGAGTAAGTGATAAATACTATTACATGCAGCCTATTTGTAACTGTAGAATACCAACATGAGCTTAAATTCTGTTGAAATTCTTCTATGCTTGTGGTGTCCCCATGTAGCTACAGAAATAAGAACTAACCCACAGTTCACTTTTAATTACCTTGAACAAAATGATACCACATTTTAAAATAAGGACACCTCTGGATTCTTGTCAGGCAGCCAGATTGCAGACTATTTTTTGACTTGGGCAAATATTATCCAATGTGAAATTATTAGTTATTGAAAGAAATGTTTTCTGCCTTAGAACCCCTGCAGTACAGCTTTTAAGCACCTACTTTGCTCATGCATTCAGTGAATTAAATTAAAGTGTTAAGAACAATGTCAGTAATGAAACAAGTGGAGATAAATTGTTTCTGGTTTAGTTAAAACCTACCAGAATAGAAAAGTATATATTAAATCAAATTAGAATTTATGTTCAATTTCAGTTCAAATGAGGAAGTATTTACATATCTAGAAGGGTTTTATTTTGGTTTTCCACAGCAGAACTATCCCATTGAAGAAACAAAATAATTGCAATCTCTGGCAATTTCAAAATATGAATAAGATAATATAATTTAGAACATATCAATATTCAAATTAGCAATGAAAGTGTCCCCATGAAGATACTGGCTAGACCTAGCCTTGGTTAGCTTGGGAAGCCTGAAGAGTGTGGAGCAAGTGGGGTAAGTGTGAGCAGTTCTGGGGGTATTCAAATGAGGAGTCCTCCTTTAGAAAGATCAGCTGCTTGAGTTAGACCAAGCATGAGAATTCCAGCTTAGCCAGGAGAATTCTGAGAGCCTGTGATTCTGTATAATAGATTGCACAGACTCAGAGCCTGAAATACAGATGAAAAGCTGATGCAGAAGATGCAATGCATACACAGAAGATTAAACTATCAGCTTATTTCAAGTATAACAAGCAGTTTTTCTGCTATTCAAGAAATACCAATAACATATTTTATTGTTTTAATTTCAGGGTGATGATCCTAAGGAGGCAATTTGTGTGTATCTCAGCAGTTCGGTGTTGGATTTGCTCTGATGTGATTTTGTGAGCATTAAACTGCATTATTACAATAGAAAAATATTTTACACTTGGGGGGGAAAAGGGAGTGATTTTTTCACACAGTGACTGCTGCATTTACAAATTTTGAGTAATCATTTTTTAAAATACAAAGTAACAATAATTTGGAAAATTCTGAAACTCCTTACTGCTGGTTTAATGGTAGCAAAGCACAATCTCAGGATGGTGGCAATATGTGACATTCATCATGTTTTGCTTCTTAGAGGATCATTAAAATATTTTGACATAAGTTCTCTGGTTTTGTTGATATCACATAGTATAGGCAATAGTCTCTGTATGGTGGCTGCATGAGTTGGCAGTGAATGTTTTCAATTAAGAACTTCATCCTGTAAATACTGGCATTTGTCTACATGAGAGAAGTGATGAGAAGAGCTGCAGAGGAGTAATAAATTCAGAGCCATGTCTTTCTTAGTTTGACCCAGGGTGCACAGATGAGAAAATCCCTCAGGTCAGAGGTAGTTAAGTGGTTTATGGGCTTTCATTTTGTGGGTAGTAAGTAGTGCTGTGGATTTAACAAGCTTTCATTTTGTGAGCAATAGATGATGCTGTGGATTTGATGGGATCACTCATATGAGTGATGTTAATTCTAAGAAAAAGTGTATGAAGGACCAGGGCTTTATAATTATTTATAAACCACTCTGCTTGCTTGTGTTCCTGTATAAGGTCCAGTTCAGCTCCAAATGAGAACCGTGAACCTGGTTTCACACTACAATCCCCAGAGCATGACTTTGCACACATTCTTGCTATTGCAGCTCTGTGTCTTGTTTGATACATGAGATGGAATTTCCATTAGAAAGATGATGGGTACCAAGCCTATAATTAAATTTCTTTTCATGTAGTATAGCTTGTATTCATGTTACTACAGATAATGAAACTGCACTAAACATTATTAGAAGGATGATCCTTTTACCATCAACCCCAAGCTCTTCTATGCCAGGATGTATGAGAAAGCCAACTACATTCCCCTAATTTATAACCTGTGTAGTTCTTTAAGTTTTCCATATGGTCCAAGAATACGTATGGAGCAACACCCAGCAGCAAGAGAAAGTGAAATATCAGCCCAGAGGAAAGAATCCCTTTAACTTTTACAGGAGCTTTGACAAGCAGTTGTACCGTAGCTTTTACTGTTCTACTGCAGAAAAAAACCCCAACCAAGCAAGCAATCAAAATTTAAAAATTGTAATAACCAGTTTCTGTTAAGAGTTCCACTGATTCTTTTGAGAATCCTTTGAATGGTCAGTTCGAAGACAGAGTGTCCTTCTTCTACAGTCAGATACTATCAGGTATTTTGTTTAGTACAATTCCTTTTGCTACGGCAGCATTAAATCCCAAGTCAACTGATTTAAAGAGCATTCAGTATTCCACTCTTCCAGGATTATATCTGAAAAAAAAATTCCCACTTAAATGAATTGGACCTTATGAAATAAGGTTCAGAAAAGCCTTTTAAATATATATTTCATAAGAGCATTACTGTATTGTAATATTTGAAAGCTTACCTTGAAGCAGTTTTATAATCACATAAACACTCCTGGAAGTATTAGAATCAATCATTATGGTTACAGGTCTGTTGATTGAGCATCTGGATCCATTTCCAAGATAATGATTTCAGAATCCAATATTCCTCCTACCCAAGTAGAAGTGTCCATAAATTCTGATTACAGCTATCAGCAATAAAGTACATTTTTTGAAAATAAGGGGTTTTAAAAAATACGTAGTGCTTTGGGGAAATAACTGATGCCACTAGTACACATGAGGACCTCTGAGAGTCAGTAGAGCCTTTAACAGAAACAAAGGCAGCAGAATTGAGCTGATGAGTCCATCTGCATTACCAGCTGGTAACTGGAAGAGGGGAGCACAGGGGTTTTATTTATTCTGATCCGTTCCAGTTCCAGCACCACAATCCACATTTTTTCTTTCCCAGCAATGAAATTTTTGCCATTTTCTGGCCACAGGCATCTATTGCTCATGTGCAGAGAGCTGGCTGCTTGCAAGAACCTGCACCCATGTTACAAGTGTTATAGATGGTTGCCTACTGCAATATCCTAGCTATAGATCAAAGATAAATTTGCTCCCAAAAGACCATCTCCTCTGCTATAAATCACTCACATGGAGTGTTTTTAGTAGAAGCTGTGCAAAGTGATGTAGTTGTCCTTTGGGTGAGGCAAACAGCTGAGGTTGAGAACCTTGCTGCATTTCATCCAGACAGACAAAGGCCACCTGTGTTCATGTAAGGACTGTAACTTATTCCAGGCTAGTGAAGAGCAGTGAGGTGTTCTTGGCCGTGTAGCAGCTACATGGTTTGTCTTGGGGAAAATTCATGCATCTTTTACAGGTTTTTACATTGCATCCAGAACAATTGCAAGTGCTCTGCGCACACAGAGATAATGTAAGATCATTCATTGCTCAGACTAAATTCAGTTAACTACTCAGCATGAGTAAAGGGGAAAAACCTGATTGTGTGAAGTAGAAGATGGGGAGAGGAGAAAATGTAATTTATCTGCGGGGAAGAAGCCACTTTTTTTCAAAAGCATTTGCTAATTAGTACCATGTTGCACTTAGTGAATAAGTATAAATAGTGTACCATGACACACCACAAAGAGCTGAAGTTACTCTGTATTGGAACTATTTCTGTGCAGCTACATGATTTGAAACACATATGTATTAGTAACTGGGAAGACCATCAGAATACATTTTAAGAGATGTTTGTCCAAAAAGAGAAAGTCTATTCTGGCTTCCTTGATGAAAAGAGGTCTTAACTGAAGGAATGTGATGTAGCACTCACAACTGAGAGCAAGTGGAAATTTCTGTAGTATGGGCAGCCACTGACTTTTTAGCACTGTTTCCACAAAGTTTAAACTTGCCAATGACTTGAAGACCTGATCTTCCATGCTCTCAAGGCTCTCAGTGGTTTATGGAACACTGGGCTGATAAGAAATTCTTGAAGGAACTGTTGACCTTTCCTACCCTTTCCTACAACTGCTCTTAACTCTGTATAGAATAAAAATATACTCTGTTAGACTTTAGATTGAGATCCTCAGGCCTTGCTCCAGACATGAAGTTAGTATGAGATGTTAGTTGCATCCACTTCACTCTATAGAAGGGCAGACATTGTACTCAGCCTTATTATAGCTACTGGTGCTGCATGCGGGGTGGCTGGTTAATTCGGGTGCAGGCTGGGCAAGTTAGTAGTGGCATTTCTGCACCACAGGGTACCATCAGATTGCTCAAGACTAGCTGAAGTACACTCACTGTGGGAAATGATGTTTTCTTGGTTAGCTGAGTACATTATTTCTAGTTTATTTAAGACATTTGCCAGGTTAATAATAGTAAATGGATTTTATACCTAGCTGGAAATGTTTATGACACTGTTGCACGACTGAGTCTACATCAGTTTGGATTAAGGATTCTTGACCTAAGGTTAGTAAGGACCTTTCAATTCCCTCTATTTCACATCAGAAATATTAATTTTTAAGATTTGTGGGCCTCCAATGCTGTCACATGCTGTGGAATGAATATTGAGATTAAATAGTTTTCTAAAGATAGAAACACTGACAGTGTGCTAATATTTCCACTGTACCTTTTCAGAAGCTGACAGTGTCCTTGCACAACTGCATCACAGCATCATTAGATTAAAGCCTGCCTTTTATTCCTTTTTCTCCTCGGAATCTCTAATGTTGCATCCTCCTTCAGGATCCAGTGCTGTCTTGAGTTGGTTGTCTTTACCCTGTGGAGTGTTACGCAGCCCTTTTTAGTGTCTGTTAGGGAGTTTGTATGACTGTGAATCAAACACTGCTATGCTTGCAGCATAATAAAACATTCTGTAAATGACTGGGTTTACACCTGAAGGAAGGCAGCTTGGTGTGATATTCACATTGCCTAACTGGAGCTGCTAAAGTTGGTCTGTAGCTGCATGGTGACTTAAGCTGGAATGGCTGCAAGGTCCATTCCCCGTTCTCATGCTGCACCTCTCCCTTCATGCTGTGTCTGACCAAGCTGTTTTGGCACCCTGAGATGGCAAAACCCTACCATGGCAACAGAACAAGAAAATTGGTTCATGCCAAGAGACAGGGGAATTTCAGAGTCAAAGCAAAGGAGGGGGTAAGACCACTCGGGTGGAATTGTAGGGACACAGTAGGTGCCTTTTGTTATCCGACAGCTGTTGGACAGACCCAGTGGCCCCCTGAAAGCTTGACCACATCCAGAAGGTAACTTCTCTGAGGCTCTGCTTTGTCAGAATGGAGAGATGGGCCCCTGCAAGGGGGATTGGCAGCACAGCAGCTGTTCCGGTGGGCTGGAGCCCATCTCTCCCTGTGGTGCCAGAAGGTGCTTAAGGCATCTACACTAAGGACTCTGGGTGCCAACACTGCTGATTATTGCTCACCCTTCTCTCTTTCCCATTACAGTCATTTTAACAAGCTGGCAACCCCAGCAGATTCAGAAATAAGTAGAAAAATTCTCAATTCACTGATAGTAAACTTGCATAAACTTGCTTGTTATTCAGCATACCTTTGCTTTCAGCCTCTTTTAATCCCAGCATCTAAAACAGCATCTGCAGAGAAAAGAGGTGAACAAGGCCTGAGGGGGTCGAGAGTTTGATTCTCTTTCCTTTGTGCATTAGTGAGATGACTGGCATACCACCATGCTTGACAAAAGATTAAATTCTCTGTCTTGAGTGACTCAGGAAAAGAAACTAAATTATCTAGGTGACTTCTGGCCTTCTGTGGCTCTCTAAAGCACTAGCAAAATTTTCCTGTTGTTAGGTATTAGTTGATTTTATTCTGTCCAAATATCTGGATCAGTTAATTCATCTGGGTTAAATTGATCATGTACACCTTGAGCCTGCACAGACTCTGTCGTGGAGCTGCAGCCTACCACAGCAATCTAGGTTTAGATCCATTTGACCTAGAGATCTTTTTTTGTTCTTTCACTTCCTCTCCTGTGACAAATTCGTGGAGGGAGGTTCTGAATATCCATGCAGTAGCTCCTCTAAGGACACTCAGGTCCACAAAGCACACATCCACCTGTATACAGGAGTCTGTGAGATCAAACCCAAGGAATATTCTGTGGAGGACTTTATTTTGTAACAAGTCTATCTCAAACAGTTAATAACCTCTTGCAGCATGCTTTGAAGCAGTAGGCTTCTTACACACGAGTCTTTTAGTTAAACGTATCTTAGTTTAACTTCATCTCAGTTAATCCTTCATCTTGTGCTACTTGAGCAGCAGATCTCTTTAATCTCTAGGTCTGCTAGCCAACAACAGTGACAAGGGGGCAAGTAGTTATTTTAGAAGGCTCAACTCTCTCTTTATTTTGAATTCTGTCATTCTAGGATCTAGGATCATCCTTCTCTGAGTTTCTGGACAGAAAAATTTCAAATGTTGCTAATCTCTCAGGCTAGTCTGGGGAAATCCTTAAGGCTTTTCACCCACAGCATACAAGTGGGCAGATTTATATTTATTAACCTTTGTTCCAGATTTTCATGAAGTATTTAATTGGCTCAAAATTATCATTATGATCAAGTAGAGCAGAAATGCTCTGCAGCATGCCACTAAACAAAGGGAAAATTGCAGCTATTTCATGGTCTCCTTTCATAAGGGCACATTTCAGAACACCATCCTATTCTGGGAACACGGCTCACCAGGAGACTGACCCGGGGTTACTGGGTTACAGCTACAGGGGTAGCAGCCTGTCAGTGAGCTCTCGGTGTCGAGCAGATTCCAGCAGTGCAGCAAGAGCTTAACACGAGGGTAGTACATCAGCTTGAGTTTGCCACTGACCAAGGCGTCAGTGTAGTACTGTGATGTGCGGTGATTGAGCTCACGTCACTCTGAGCATGAGCAATAACTGCCCTTGGGTAGCAGGTGTTGGCAGATGCTGGTTTAAGGATGAAAACAGTCTGATTGTGAAAGACAAGGAATGGCATCCTCGTGTTGCTGTCAAAGGAACATTCAAGTCTGTCTTTTGCTAAATCTTGATGCACCTTCAGCAGTACATCAGTGTGTGTTGCCACACCTGGTACTTCTGTGTCTTGTCTTTGTTTCATCCCTCTTTTCTCCAGTGTGGGATAAAACTCGCAGTGCATGATGGAAGTATTTAATGATCCCATCATGGTTTCAAGGCAAGAGCCCATCAGGATGAATCATGCAAATGGTTATGACAGGATAACCTGTTGCTGGGTTTAAATTCCTCACTATTCACTTTAGTCCCTGACAAGAGGAGATTCTTCACAGCAAGTCTGTCGGCCAACAACATGCTAGGCTTCTCCGCTCTTGGCTTGGCTGTGAGATGTTTCCCTAAAAACACTTCCTCCTTGGTGGTTTTATTGTCAGTGTTTAAAATACAAACCCATTCTTGAATTCTTATGACACTGAAGTATAACAGCGGACATTTCTGCATTTTTATATGTACTGTTTGTGTAGTGGCTTCATATGTATTCTTTATCTTAATATTCTTGATATTCTTTTGAGTACCTAATTAAAATTATTTTAAATATTCTTATTTTTTAATGTCACCAGAGTAAAGTGTGTGGGAAGTTACATAATGTCATCTAAAAAACAGCCATACAAGCCAAAATAATTTTAAGGGTATTTGAATGATTTCTGGAGGAGTATTTTCATTAGTCATTTGGACACTTGCATCTTAGTTTTACCTTTCTAAGATAGGCCTAAGAGGCAACCTCTGCTTCTGATTTAGTTCAAGATCTACAAGGGACAAAACAGGTGAATGGAGAGGTCCTACAGAGGGCCGCTCCTCAGGGATGGCAAATGTGTGGCTTTTCCTTTCAGAGACTGGTCCATGTGTCAAAATGTAATTTCATAAAGTTACCATGATAGCTTTTGCCCAGAGGTTTCATTGTCTCTTAAAATGTATATTGTTTGCATTCATTTCAGCTCCATTCTTTCTAATGCAATTGTCAAAGCAGAGCTTATTCCCCCTTGGAGCTGGTAAAATTGTGCTCCTCCACATGCACCAAACTCTCTGAAGCTGCTAGTGTAGGCTCTGCTGCTGCTGTTTCAAAAAGGTTCCTCAAATTCTCTCAGTGCTGAACTTATTTATGTTTTCAGATGTGAACTTGATATTGTCTGAGTAGAATGTGTGCAGCATAATATAGAAATGTCTCTGCGCAGGGTTTAGGAGGAGGCAGGAGCCCCTCAGCCATGTGTCTGTGCTTTTATTACAGAGAACCAAGATGAAGTTGTACTGTTTAGTCACCTGTTACAGCTGGTTTAATTTGTACTTTGTTTTCATGTTTTAAGTGCCTGATGTTTTTTTTGTCAAGGAGGCAATGGTTTCACTGTTATAAGGCATACTTAGAATTCTGTACTTGTTACCTGTTCTGTAATAGAATATTTTTGCAATTTATGTTTGGAAATAAAGACTTATTAGGCATAATTGTGGTGGATTGTTTCTTTTGTGAATTCTTGAGACTAAACAAGCAAAAATGTGTCTCCTGAGGCTGCAGCATAGAAAAATGCATTAGTCTGAAACCTCTGGAACAGTATTGGCAACTGACAGTAAAAATGTGGACAGTTCCTTAAAACTGTGCAAGGAAAAAAACAAGCTGTGCTTAAAAGCAAGTATAGGGGATTGGGGCACTGGTACATGTGTAAATATCTGTTGCTTAAATGGTACCTTCAAGTGATTTCAGTCTTTTCTTGAATGGCAACACAATTAACTACTTTTGTTACTTCTAAAGACTTTAAATACTTTCAAAAATTATTTATTGAAAAAACATCAAACATGGAAAAGAACCAAATAAGAAAACAATTGTTGCCATCTTCCTCTGAAAATAGCTCTTAAATTTGAAAATTATCTCTAAAAATAACCAAATGCTTCAAAAACAATGCTTAATGGAAAATGTTTAAACAACAGATGCAAAAGGTTTTTTTATGCAAAATACTGACCATGAGTACATGTCTGATAGATGTGTCTCTAGTAGCTTACTATGCATATTTTAGTCCCTTACGTTGGGATTTTTTATTAATATAGCTTTTGGTCACATACCAAATACTTGTAATGAATGAATTTCAAACAGATAAAGTTCAGAGAAAGAATTTTCCCTCCACGTGTTTACTTTTTACTTTTGGGCCGAAGGCAGTCAGAACTTCTGTGCTGCTTATTGTGACTTCTCCAAATAGAAGCTGACTGCCTCGTTAAATCAGGTCAAATATGTACGTGCAGCTGTTTTGTGAGGAGGACTATCCTTTAGGGCCCTCTAGGGACTGAACTGCAATTGCCAAATTTTGTTGCAGACAGAACAGAGGTTTAGAACTGAAAGCTTTTATTTGGTCTCATTGACCATCAAGTGGCTTCTGCCTGAAGATTAAGATCTGGATCTTTGTGTCCTACTTCCTTCCCATAGTGCATGAGTTTTTCACTGATGATCAGAACCAAAGGGTTTCTCTTTTTTTGCTGTGCTGGCAGCTGGAATGGCATATATGAGTGATGCAGATGCAAATGTGTCCCCATAATCAGGGCAGGTTCTAAATCAGAAGTGTGATTTCTGCTGAGGAAAGTGTCTTAGATTGAGTTTAGTTATCACAAATATTTATGCACAGCCAAATGTTGAAAGAGCAGCACAGCCAGGTGATTAGGACTGCTTGGTCCAAGTACAGAATAACTGAGTGCAGCCCTAGTTGATGCATTGCCTTGTTATTATCCCCTGTTAAGAAGGGGAGCAGTCTGGGGGAAGTCAGCTGGACAAGAGGAGAAGGGGTGGGAAGTGGTTGTGCACTGAGGTTATGCCTGTCCTGCAGTCGTTGTGCCTCTGGATCACACCAAGATCAAACCGTGCTCCTAGGGGCAGAGCACCTACCATCAAGGTGGCACTCCTGCTGTGGGAAACACTTGGTCACTGGCATTAGGAGGGCTTTAGAAGGAATGTTGCCAGGAGCAGTTATATGGTTCAAGACCAGGTTAGGTTTTCCTCTTGCCTCTGTTAGGCAAAAAGTGTCATGTGAAGATTTTACAACATGAGGGCTCTGGCTTACTCCAGAAGAAAATGGCCAAAGTCCACAAGTTAAAAGCCATGGTAGTAGGCTAGGGAATCTGGAATCAAAGCCACAGCCCAGCCAGCAGCTGGAAAAATACACAAATGGGCTGAGGAAGTCATCAGCATTTTAAAAGGTGAAGATAGATTGCCTCCTTCTCAAGGATCCCAGTATGCCCATGTTCTGGTAACTGAATGTGCCTGATTTTTGAGATAGACGACTAAGTTTTAGCTTGCCTCTTCTATCCTGTATCAATATATACATCTGTGTCATACTCACTCTGCACTAGAGCAAATTAATACTGAATAGGAATTTTAAGGTCTCATGACTACTGCAGACTGATAGATGGAACCATCTGGTTAACGGAGATACCATAATGAAAGCATTAATTCTTAAGCAAAGCACTGCAGATCTTTTATCATGTAAGTGAAAAAAAAGTGAAGACTTATTTTAAGCTGCTGTCTGTTTTCCACAGCACAGGGAAGCAGAGCTGAATTAGTCCAGGAGCTCACATACTGCTGCTGTCATCAAAGGAAGAAATGCTGGATGTGCTGGTAAAATGAAATAAGCGTTAGAAATTAAACAGCTTTCATATTTGAAATTAATTTTATTAGGTTATTTGAGAGACTGTTAAGGCAAAAATATTCTGACTGAATTTTAAGCACAATGCTGATTGTGTAAATCCAACCCTGCGGGGACATTGGTCCTTTTTGTTTAGCTTTTAATCTTTGTTATGACAAAAATTGCTCTTTTATTATGTGCCAAGTTTTAATAAAGTAAAATCACTCAGTAAAGGTCCCTCAGTTTGAACTGCCCGTTTAATGCTGATAGTTTCTCTTGAACAATATGCATTGTGCAAAACCCTTTGTAAGTCCAAGCAGGACCCCAGGGGGGCTGCAGCCTCCCACTGTGTGTGCCCTCTTACAGAGCACGACCACAGCTCCACCCTCATGTTCCTGCCTGGAAGGAAGAAATGATGGGTCTGCATCACCCACAGGAGAGGAAGGAGTTGAGGTGGGAGGTGGCATGCTGCCTCAGTAAATGTCCTGATGTTGGATTGTGATATAAAAGAGAAGAAAAAGAACTCTTCTCTAGCTGGATTTTAAATTAGTTGGTCCTCTTTAAAGAAAAAAAAAAGTTTTTTACACTCTCAGGAAAGGGTTCAAGGATGGATCAAAAAAAGACAACGATGTTCTCAGAGGCATTGGAGTAGAAGAGTAAGAGACAAGTTTAAGATCCTCTGGATATGCTTGTGTGTGATACATCATAGAGAAATGTTACAAAGGAAGGATGAGAGGGTGTGATTATTAAGTAGCAGAAGGAGTGACCAAAAATGGAAGATTGCAGTACTTTGACATTGAATTCACAGTTCTCCATCAAATGCTGGTGTAAAATAACTGTTTTAAAAAGCCAAACATGATGAAGTACTGAATAGGCGAGAGTGGGAGGCAGATGGACACCTCACCTTCAGTTCTAAAGCTGAGAGAGGTGACAGGAGGAAATAGCCCGAGACTCATCTCACCACCCACAGTCTCCAGTTCGAGGTAGGGAGACTTTTATGCCAAGCTCCATGGTCCTTAAGTACAGGAGGCTCCCTCATAGTCAGCATGACTACTTCATATATAAATTCTTACATCATAAACACCTACATTTACTAGATCAGCCCCATCATGTCCTACGCTTTTCCTATCTACACTGGATGTTTTTTCAACAGTGCCTGAATCATAGAGCTCTGAACTCTGTTGGTCCTTTTCAGTTTGCTGTAGTACAGATACAGATTCCTACAGATTCCTAGGATAAAATCTCTTTTTCTGAATACATTTAACATCTTTCAGAAGAGTCTAAAACAGAAACTCCAAGAACATGAACTTAGATCACTTTCAAGTTCATCTTACTTGCAGTCCTGAAGTTACAACTGAGGTATGACATGAAGTAATTATACGGATTGTGTTGTATGGGCTCTGCAGGAGCTGAATAATTTGCTGAGGATATTAATTTTGAAAGCCAGACAGCAAGAGATCAGCTGAGATGAAAGATCACTGCACAGTGACCTCAGACCAGGGGAAAAGAAAAAGAAGAGAGGGGAGTGTGGGCCAGCTGAAGAGTTCAGTGCTGCACAGTCTAGCAGTGAACTGAAGTAGATGCATTTTAACACCAAAGGTGGTTTCCATGGAACTGACCACAGGTATCATCACTACATTTCAAAGTCACCACTGTGGATTCCCTTTATGGTCATGGAGAGAAATGGAGTATAATACAACCAGGTAGTTTTAGTTGTCTAAATTAGCTTGTGATAAATCCTAGATTCCCCAGTTTATGGAGGGAGTGTAGAGTGACTAGCTGGGCCATCACACTCTATGCTGGCCCAGAGTTCAGTGTTCCATCCTGGGGGAGTGGGTGAAATGCAGGTGCAACCCCAGACTGAGCTACCACCTTCCTTATTCATACCCAGCCATGACTTGACTGAGGCCTGATCAGTACCCTGTGGCATTGCATCTTCTGAGCAGGGAAATAGTAGCTAAGTAGCAGACTATATAACATCCCTTAGAGACAGCATATAATGAGGTCAGGTTATAAGGATTCTCTGAAAGAGAATAGGGCCAATCTCTGAAAGATTCTCAGAAGGAGAATCTATACCAATAGGTATAGATTAACCTTTGTGAATAACAAATCTAGTGAACTTAATTTCTTTGACCTCTAAAACAATTTTCGCAGTCACAAAAAGTTAATCAGAATGTAAAAGCTCTTTATCAAATGTTCACTGTTGAAATCAGTATTGGATTTGTGTACTTGAACTGCTGTGCAGCCCTGAATAGACACATTAAAAGTGGTTTAATCCGATTGTACTTTGGCTTTAGCTTAGTTTGTCAATCTAGCAGTGCAAGTCAAACAGCTTTCACCTTAGGGATTTTCACTGCTTTGCTTGGATAAATTCATTAACAAGCCATAAAGTAGCTGTGAGTCTGAGGGATTTTGGAAGCCATGGAGATGTTCCTGATGGTGCCAGAACCTGGAGGTAAGCAACACTAACCTGGAGGCCAGTTCTCAGTGTAACACAATGCTACAAAGAGAATGTCATGAAGCTTGACTGGGCAGTGTATTCATTGAATCTGGATATCCACACTCAGAGAAGAGGTAAGCAGTAGTAAAACCATGATTTTATGCTAACAGGGACACTCCTCCACATCCCCTTCCTCGATATGTTCCACATGGCTTCATCTGCCATTTGTCAGAAAGTGTCAAACTATTTCGGCTTCACTAAAGTGTTCACTTGGCCAAAAAAACAATGTTCTGGTACACCTAGACCAAAAGAAAACTCTGGAATTGCCAGGGTTATCACTGCTATGGACTCACAGACTTCATGTGAAAACACAGACACATCCTGAGCTGAAGGCCTTGGGC